CTCAAAAGGCTCTCAACCAACTCACGCCAAGTCGTTCTTTCCTTTGTTATCTCATGCAGCTCTCCCCATGTCCTTCCCATCTTTCTAACTTCATTCTCCAGCTCCCTTCTCCATGTGTTCTTTGGCTTTGCTTTATTCCTATGCCCTTATGTGGGTTACCTATATCATAGAGAGTTCTAACATTCCATGTGCCTATTCTGGAGGTGTTCCTGGGTGATAGTAGGTATGTCGACGATCCAGACTCCTTTCGGTTTTCTCCACATCTTGTCCTACATCTACTTGAAGAGCCTTCCCGCATCTTGGCTGGCTGGGTTTTATTTGCTTCTCCCATGAATTATCCATGGTTGTTAGGTTTTTGTGGGTATTGTTTTTACATGATGAGGTAGCCAACCTCAAGCCCAACCCTACCCTTAGTCGCCCCTTACGACATGCCTTGAAGGGTGCAGTGTCACTATTCTTTGCTTCCTGTGAGGGCTCCCAATGACACACAGGCGTGATATTTTGTACTGCTAGTCAATCTCTGGTCATTTGTTGTGTCACTGTTTCATTTGCATGTTTATAGTTATATAATTGTGTCATACCACAACCCGCCCAACATTTATTCGATCCAAGCACAAGATGGAGCACTTTGTATTAAGTACACAGAGTACACAGCGAGATTAAACATTTTATATGTGCTTTGTGTTCGATTATTTATAACATTTACTTACCAGTGTGTATATGTTTGTCTATATGTGTGTGTGTGTGTGTGTGTGTGTGGTGTGTGTGTGTGTGTATGAGTTGAGTTGAGTCAAGAATTTATATCACAGGACTCGGGGCATTCCCATACATGCTCCGTCAGCAACCAGCACAGAGTTCCAATACTGATGGTACCGGTCACAATCTGGTTATATGTCCGTCTTGCCTTTCCTCTGAGTGCAGTGAGCCGGCCAGACCCCCTTGTGCCTAATTCTCTCCGTGGAATTGATCCACAATACTAAAAAACGAGATCTGTTCAGATGCACGAACGCCTGGCAAGGCACTTGATGATGATGATTTTAAATCCCCTTGTGGGTTCCGGGGTCCATTAACAGAGGGAGAAAGGAATAGACCCATTGTCTCAGCAAAGACCTGTCAGCAATGAGGGTCCTGGCCGCCGCTAACACTGAGCAGAGGCTGCTTCTGCTTTTGTTCAGGGGACTTGTACTTTCTCCCATCGAATATGTTCTTGCCATCCTCACTGTCAGCCAAAGAAGAAGCGCATGGGCATTTACAGCACGCTCAGCGGGCAGAACAGTCAAAGAAGCCAACGGCGCCTTCTCCATGACAACCAGCAGCATGACGATGGAGGTGATGGCAGTGACGCAAGCGCTTGCCTGGCTTGAAACACAAAAATACACCCGCGTGTGTATACTCAAAGATTCAATGAGTATGATCCGGAGGGTTCAGACAGGTTCAGTGCGAAGACAATGGCTTGAATCATTACAGAAGTCCACTGTGCGTGGAATCACCTTTATTTTTGTTCCGGGACACGCAGGCGTCGATGGAAATGAAAGAGCTGACAGGTTGGCTGGATCCGCTATCACTACCGACGGTCAGCCTATGGATCATGCTGATATTATCAATGCCCTCAGAGAAATGGGAAGGATAGAGGACTTTGTTGGCAGTGAATCCACATCACTCGCCAGAATGGCAGACTTGGGAATTAAGATCGGCACAGCAAAAAACGAGACGCACACCAGACACGCCAGAAGACTTGTTAATCAACATAGAACTGGTACTATTAGCCATCGGACGTTGGGGTTCATACTGAGGGGAGGATCTGAGCACCTAGGGACATGTCCGGAGTGCAATGAGGATAACCCAACTAACTAACTAACTAACTAACTAACTAACTAACTAACTAACTAACTAACTAACTAACTAACTAACTAACTGCCAGCCATACTCAGACTGAAAGACTTGAGAAGGTGCAAAATAAAGCAATGCGCATTATTCTAGGGTGCACTAGAGACACCTCTTGTGTAGCAATGAGGTACATTCTTGACTTTCCTACCATGCACGACAGGATCAAGATCTGGAGGGCTCGTGCGGAGTGCTGTGAAGATAATCTAACTCATAACTTATAATTGTGTCAGCAATAAGAATGTAAAAACAACAATTTAGGAGTTTGTGTAAATTTGTGTATTTATTAGTGAACAGTGATATTAAAAATACTTCCGTATCTTATTACCGGTAGTGGAACTTTAGCAAAGTTTCACATTTCAAAACACGGAACACAAGTTTTGGCGTGGTCGAAGGCAGGATTTTGTCTGTTGGTAATTAATTTTATTGTTTTATAATGAATTACGCGTGTTCCTTTCTTGAGTTTCCGACAGTAACGAACTGTTTGATTTAATAAACTGATATTTTGACAGAAAAGTAATGATTAATAAGATAATGTGTTCGTATTTTAATTTAGCATTCATTGTGATAAAACTTCGTTGGAACTTGTTGCGGTCTGGTGTGGTATGTTACCTTTACATGAGGGGTAGTTCATATCTATATTATATTCTTAACTTATTGTATATCGTTTTTAGTTTATTATCACCATGTAGGAAGTACGTTGCAGTGCGTTGCTGTAATTACGACACTCCATTTAGCCTTTTGACATTCTTCCAGCCTTGTGGACCATGATCCATCCTTATGTTTCTCCAGATACAAATTAAATTAAAAATTGTATTATATTGTTTTGTTTTTTTTCCTATCGATCTAAACTGTTGTGCAACGCAGTATCTCATTGCACACTGTTAGTATTTTAATGATGTTACACTTGTTAATTAGTATTTTAATAATAGGCTCTTCTTTCAATACCGGACGCTGGCTGGACGGCTTAGTTCGGTTTAGTGGCAGTTCTCTCCCTTGGCCTCACTGCAAACAGTGAGCGGAAAAGTCATGAAACAAATGACATACTTACCTATCATCATACGGTTGCGTACGGTTGCGTGTAGGGTTGCGTAGTCATCAAACGGTTGCGTGTAGGGTTGCGTAGTCATCATACGGTTGCGTGAAGGGTTGCATAGTCATCATACGGTTGCGTGAAGGGTTGCATAGTCATCATACTGTTGCGTGTAGGGTTGCATAGTCATCATACTGTTGCGTGTAGGGTTGCCTATCATCATACGGTTGCGTGTAGGGTTGCGTAGGGTTAGGGGTAGGGTTAGTGTTAGGGGTAGGGTTAGATGTGAAAATTTTGACGTAGGAGTTCCAAATACTGGCCGACAATCTGTTGCTTGTGGGAGTGGCGCCAATGACATTCTGCCAAATATGACGCCAATAGCGCGCGGCTGGTGCCCAATCGTTGGCGAATTGTCTGTTTGACTAGCATCCACAGGCCTTTGATTGTTTGTGTGTGTATGTAACTGTGCGCGACGTCAACGAAGTTGGTCTGGTGGACTACTACCATGCCTTGAGTTTGCAACGTTGCTGGTGCCTTGTCAAGCGTCAATTTTCACATCTAACCCTACCCCTAACCCTATCCCTAACCCAAACCCTACGCAACCCTACACGCAACCGTATGATGATAGACACCCTACGTAGTTCTACACGCAACCGTATGATGATAGGTAACCCTACACGCAACCGTATGATGACTATGCAACCCTTCACGCAACCGTATGATGAATGTTACACTTGTCAGTTAGTATTTAATAATGTGACAATACGCAAAATAATGTTACACTTGTCAGTTAGTATTTAATAAGTATGCAACCCTACACACAACCGTATGATGATTTGCTAAGTAATAATGGTACACTTGTCAGTTAGTATTTAATATGTCATTTGATTCGTGGACTTTTCCGCTCACTGTTTGCAGTGCGGCCAAGGGAGAGAACTCCCACTAAACTGAACTAAGCCGTGCAGCCCACGTCCGGTATTGAAAGATGAGCCTAATAATGTTATAGTACACTAGTCAGTATTTTAATAATGTTACACTTGTCAGTTAGTATTTTAATAATGTTACACTTGTCAGTTAGTATTTTAATAATGTTACACTTGTCAGTTAGTATTTTAATAATGTTACACTTGTTAGTTAGTATTTTAATAATGTTACACTTGTCAGTTAGTATTTTAATAATGTTTCACTTGTCAGTTAGTATTTTAATAATGTTACACTTGTTAGTTAGTATTTTAATAATGTTACACTTGTCAGTTAGTATTTTAATAATGTTACACTTGTCAGTTAGTATTTTAATAATGTTACACTTTTCAGTTAGTATTTTAATAATGTTACACTTGTCAGTTAGTATTTTAATAATGTTACACTTGTCAGTAAGTATTTTAATAATGTTACACTTATCAGTATTGACACACACACACACATATATATATATATATATTTGTAAACCTATGTCACTGTATATAATATTAACATGTGTAATGTGTGTATCTGTATATAATATATATGAGTATGTATTTTATATATTATATATACACACACACGTGTATGTTGTCCTAATCATTAAGGGCCTGAGCTCCAGCATAGAAAGATCATTAATTCAACACAACTGGCATTGATCCACGGGCCATTTGCTAGTCCAGATTTGGCCCGCTGGCCGCCAGTTGAATAGCCTTGGACTACACTTTCTGCCCAGGCATACGGTGATGATAATGACAGATAAATATTTAGAGCAGTTATTCCCAAACTGTGTGCCCCGGGGAGCCGTGACCTCTTCACAGGAGCGCCGCGAAATATTGTAAAAGCTTCATAATTAATTTAACCAAGACACGAATAGTCATACTTTAGCTTAGGTTAGGGCGCCATGGAAAAACTTTAATTGAAAAAAGTGCAGCGACCCAAAAAAAAGTTAGGGAAATACTGATTTAGAGCATTTTTCTAATCTTTTCCAACAGGTTCTTCTGCTGAAGTTGAGCTCTGTTCCATAGAAATGGAGACCTCGTTATTGAAGGCACTTGAAAACCTGCACTTGGCAGATAAATCAGCAGTTCAGATTAGCAACCCTGAAGAGGATTATGTCCTGGATCTCGCTGTGCAAAATGGGTACAATCTTGGATTCATCTTTTTCTCCTCCTTCTGCTTCTTCAGTCGAGTGTCCAAACCCTTACCTTTATAGCCATCACTGTGTCTCTGCTCATGTGATTTAAGGGAAAAATGTCTTTTTTCTACTCCTTCATATGTATTGGGTATATAGGGCTAGACCTGTATTTTAAAGACCAATTGGAACTTGATGGGTGACATGGTCACCATCATGTGGGCCACCTTTACTTCCCAGGACCACACCTGGTACCCACTCAAGGCTGGGTTGACCTTGGAGTCGAGGTCTTTTTGAACAAAGTCACTGTTAGGACATGAACTGATGACTTTCCAGTCCGCAGTCAGGTGTCTAGCCAATGTCTTTTAATGTGACACCCCCCTCCCCCCCACCCCCCCACCCCGCCTCACACCCACACAAAAACTGCTTGTCTCATTTTTATTTCTTTCAACATCTCTATTTTATTTCTTTTAACCTCTCTATTTTATTCATGTGTGATCTTATCTATAATTATATTTTTTATAAACATTACCATATAAACTTAATAGCCTGTACTGTGTCAGAGGGCTACCTTGGTGCTGTGGCTAGATGCTTGCTTGGGGATCCACAGGTCATAGATCTAAATCCGAATGGAACCAGACTTTTAAAAGAAAAAAATGCCTTAGCTCTCAAGTTGGCCCAATCTTCAATTGCTGCCAGGTAATGTCCTGGGGGGAAAAAGGTGGCCGTTGTGATGTTGACCACATCACCAGCTTAGCATCAATTGATCTATACAAATATAGGTCTAGCCCTATATGCCCAGTACACCTGATGGTGTAGAAAAGGGACCTGTTACAATGTCTTAGGCACATTATTTTTGAGTTTACGTCAAACATATAATGATGAAGTTCCAGTGGACCCACAGGTGAATAAAAGATGCTGGTGTTGGATAAGACACACATGTTGAGAAAACCTGACCTAAGAACATTGTAACTAGAATGTCTTTTCACTGGAACCCACTGCTGGTGTTGGATAAGACACACATGTTGAGAAAACTTGACCTAACAACATTGTAACTAGAATGTCTTTTCACTGGAACCCACAGGGGCATATAAATAAAGGAAGACCAAAAAAAACACATGGAGAATGGAGCTAGAGAGTGAAGTTAAAACTAGGGGGGGGGGGCTGCATGCTAGAACGACTTGATGGGAGTTGGTTGAGGGCTTATGCTCCGTTTGGGGGTCAAAAGTCAGAAGAAGAAGATAATGGTAAACATCAAGACATCAGTACTTTTAAATGAAATACACAAATCACAATGTCTTTTGTTACACTTACAGTAAATCTTGCCAACAGAAGTAAAAGACGAACAACATTGTCAACACAGAAGTCTTAACATTAACCACATAATCCTTTTGGTTACACAATACAGTATTGTTGTCTTAAATGCAACTTAAAAAGACAATTGTAAACATATCATTATATCTTCTTCTTCTTTTTACTATTCCTGGAATGCCTCACAGCGTCAGGGCGGGAAGAGATCTCTGAAGCGGACGCTTCTGTTCGCTTCATATAAAGTTCTTTTCAATGTCTCTGAAATTTCTGCAGTCCATCTTCTGCATGGTGAACCTCTGGATCTGTTACCATTGTATCTGTATTACATTGCTGTCTGTGGTGCCCTGTCTGATGCAATATTATATTTAATTTGCTTGTTTCCATCTCCTGTACAGTTCTGATGACCCCTTGCTGGCTGCTGTCTGTGGTGCCCTGTCTGATACAACATTATATTTAATTTGCTTGTTTCCAACCCCTATACAGTTCTGATGACCCCTTGCTGGCGGCTGTCTGTAGTAATTTCACTGTCCAGCTGATGTCCAGGAACAGGCTGACCCATATCTCAACAATATCAGGTCAGATATAAAACATTGTACAATATGCGTTTAGAATTTGCAGTGTAGTAGACATGCCGATGAACCAAATAAACACGCTCATTCTACAAAGAGCACACATTGAGCAACCCTGACAATATTAAAAATGAGAATGTCTTTTAGAGGTATCCACAGGGCAAAAGACAGAGGCAGGCTGAAAACACATATGGAAGAGGATTAGAGACATAAATAAAAGATGCTAAGGAATTGGAGGTGGCAAAAAAGTTTGTGTTCATCAGTCACAAGGGATGAAGATCACTTTGAATCCAAACTCAGTCATGATCAGTGACTGTGAGTAGGATGTTTAGATGAAAGTGACTTGAGCAGTGACTTAGATTCAACTGAGGAAAAGTTGGCAGTGGTGCATCGAACTCACTCTCTTGTCTGTGTCCATCTTGATCCGGTGGCAGGACAGTGACGAGAAGACTGGAAGCAGCCCCAGTGCAGTGGATAACCAAGATGCTTCAAATGCCCTGCCTGACTCGAAGCACTTCACAAAGCCTGCTGGTGATTGCTTTTTTTCTCCATTGAACCTTAAGTTTCATCCACACAATGTATCAACAGGCGTGGTGGGCATGCCCTAAACTCACTGACTGGTATTAACCATGTCGGCTACCCTCTCCTGGTGTAGCCAGCTTGTCAAAGCTGTTTCCTGGGGGATGGCTGCTGTCAAATGCTGACAAAAACTGGAAGCGACAGGAGGAAGCTGGGTAGCAGATCTAGCCCACCGGTGGTGAACTACCCTGAAAAGGGCATGATGACGATCCAGTAAATGAGGCAGGCAAAAAGTAAGACAGCTTGGCATGTCAGTAAAATTGAAAAGAAAAAAAAGTAATTTGAAAAAAGCCACAAAGGGACCCTTTTCATGTTTTAGTGCATCGGGCATACAGTGCTGGAGCTCTTAAAATTTTTTTGTTTAAATAGACCAATTGGCACTCGATGGGTATTGTGGTCAACATCACACTGGCCACCTTTACTGTCCAGGACATTACCTGGTACAAGTTTCAGGCTGGGTCGACCTCAGAAAGCTACCATATTTTGGTCATGTTAAAATGCATTATAGTGGTCTGGAGAAGACGATGCTAGAGGGTACAGTTTTTGTGTGTGCATTTTGCCACCACTGGCTCCACCTGGTCAGTGAAGAACAGGCTTCTGTTGAAAGTGATATCCTGGTATGTCAGTTTTCTTTCTCTTTTGATGATTCCATAGTTTAAATAATGTGGATACAAACAATACATTGCACAATTTATTGCCAGGCATATTTTGCTGTATCTCATCAGGTGCGTTACTACAGAGTTACATCAACATAAAATAAAGCACAAAACTGAATAAATTCAACTGAAATGCGAAAAGTTTCTTCGATACATTGTCTCTCTTTCATGGCCGCCGGAAGCTCACCGTAGTCACTGACTACCGGGGTAACTTCATAGTTAATTCCATAGTTAATTGTGAAGCTTGGTACATCAGTTCTCACAATTCTGTTGTTAGGAGAGCACTATAAAGGGGGGAAAAAAAAGCACAAGCTGGCGCAAAGAGGATTTCCATGATATTAAAGCATCACTTCAGAGGTCCTGGGTAGTTGGCATCCTTTGGGTGTTTTTGTCAGGTGTGCAGGTGTGTTGGTAAATGAGCAGGAAGATACACTGGCTGGTTCTGCTCCACTTTATGGTAAATCACTGTATGACAAGCTAGATTTTGGGAGTGAGGACGCACAATTAGATCATTATAGTCTGAGGAGAATGGCGCTGCGAGGCGTTACCAGAGGATCTGGCTGACGCTCGACACTTAAGGGAAAGGTGAAATCAGACAGTTACTGATGCCCTGGGAATTGCAACTCTTCGCTTGATGCTGAAGATGGAGACTGAGTGCTTATAAGAGTGTCCTAAGTGCTGTAATGTTTTATTCCTAATTCAGCATTGGACAGGTTAAAACAAAATGGAGGAATAGACTGCAAGCCCTGTGTGACATACAATGAAACAACAGGATAGTAGTGATGATGATGATGATGCATGATGGCTTCAGTTCTAGGGGACTGTTGGTGTTGGCACTTCTGCCCAATGCATTTAATGCTTGTGAATGCGGCTGGCTTTTCCGGGGACTGTAGTCTCTGAAAATTGTTTAACAACAAACTATGTAAGCATTTTGTGTGGTTTTTCAGCGGGACAGAAACACCAGTTATGGGGTACCGTGACTGAAGACTGACAGATTTTTAACACAGTATCTATCTGTATCTCATTCTTAGGTCACGTAGATACAATAACTAAAGTTCACTTTGGGAAAACAGACTGCAACTTGGTCTACACGTCGTCCAAGGACAAGACTGCCAGGTATTATAAATTAAATATACACATCGTCTGAGGACCTTAGGATTCAACCAGTCAGTTGACTGTTCTTTTGCATCTGGGTCATCTATAGTTTTTAGGCATATGGGCTTTCCCATCGACTAATTAAAATGACCATCGAATAGCTATGCATTTTGAACAGCGTAATTTAAATAACAAGGAAATTTTAATGAGAGGGTTTACTGCACTGCACTTCAATTTTATCCACATGGCTTAGTCTCTCTTAGTAGAGCAGCTGGTCATCTGCCTAGAGATTGGCTTAGGTGCACTAGGGCAAGAACTCAGTCTGGTGAAGACCTGCTTCAGTCTCTCTGTGGTGGTCCTAGAAACAGGTTCCCTGTGTGGCAGCAACAGTCAGCATACAGTCAGCCATAAGTCCTAGAATAAGATAAAAGTTAAGGCAGGGAAAAACAACCAGAACTTTCCGCTGGAGTTTACAGCCGGTGAACGTGAAGAAGAAGAAGAACAATGTTCTCGTCATGGCACACCTGAAAGTCTCTCTTTTCTCCAGCCACTTCTTCTGCTTTCATAGCCAGTGCATCTTCACTGTCTTGTATCCGTCCTGGCAGAGGTCTGCCTCTGCTTCTCTTTCCCAGAAACTGTCCCCTCCATCAACATTCTCTCCAGGTCACCGTGACATTTAATATGGCGACAGCTTTTGGGACAGGATGTTGTTTATGAGCTTTGATTGTTTCTTTGATGATTGAGTAAGAGTCCTTGACTCATGTCTAAAAGTGGCCACAGGGAAGACGCATGATCTCGGAATTTTAACTTTGACTCATTTGCAGCTGGTGTCCCATAGGTTCTTCATGCATACAAAAATCAGCAGGCCTTTTTTCTGATGTTGAAAGGTTCACAAGTTAGTTAAGCTGCCACAGAGAGGATCTTACTGGAGAAATAAAATAAACATAGAGCATGAGGAAGACCATGTTAAATATGGAACAACAACATCAAGAACAACCCTAAAGACATGCAGATCTGCTAACATAACACATTTAAAAGAGCACTCAGGAGCTCCTTTCACCTCCTATCCCCCTGTGTATGTTACAGCTGGTGGAAGTACAGAAGAAGAAGAAGCTATCTTGGATTTACACTTTGGAGTTGGAGGGGATAATGAAGAAGCGGACATACTGGATGTATCTGCAATAGTTAGTGGAGGAAGAAGTATGAACAGGACAAACATTTTAAATGTGTTGTAGTAAAAAAAAACATTGATGCAAAGGAGAAATGATCAACTGCCCACTGGAAATGGGTTTTGAAAGAGGACAAGAAATCAGAAACAAGTAACAAAATATACCATTCAACTCCTACCTGATTTGCGATGTTAGTTTTTGACATTAATATGAACACTGAAAATATATGTGGAATGGTCAAAACTAGAGTACAAACACTGGTACCTGCATACATATGTACATGCATGTATTACAAGTAACTACCCACTTACTGTCTCCTGTTTGAAAAGTAATTCTACCCCTACATAGGGGAAGAATAGACCCACTTACTGACTCCTGTTTGAAAAGAAATTCTACCCCTACATAGGGGAAGAATAGACCCACTTACCCATGAAAAGTATGTCATATAATTCGACTAATAAGGGAATTTCCTCTAAATTAGAGTGCATCTGCCTGAGAGTTGAGGAACTAAGAGTCTGCATACAAAGAAGCCTGTAACAAATGGATGTGCACTCAAACCTCAAGTTCTGGAACAAGATTAAATTGAAAAAACAACCAGAACTTTGCACTAGAGTTTATAGCCAGTGAACTAGAAGAAGAAGAAGAAGAAAGAAAGAGCAAAAGATTACTTTCCTTTACTAAGAATGAAAAAAGTTATTGTAGGTAGGTAGGTAGTTGTACCCCACCAGGACATCACACAAGCAATAAACCCCTGGTGACACAAAGTGCCTCCATGCGGATGAGGATCACCCATGGAAAGGTCCCAGAAATCCCATTCATCTATGAAGCCATATATTTATATAGCACGGCTATATTCAGGGCCCCCAACAAAAGCCAGGGTTAGGCTTCAAATAACCAAAACTTGCATCCTACATGGGGACGGCCTATTATAAGTTATTCTACTAAATGTTACAAACTGAGTTACCATAAACTTGCGTGCTGTGATAGGTTTGTTGTCTTGTATGCTTTCAGATGCTGGGATATTAGGGTCAGTAATACAAAGGAAGTACAGCTATTTAAAGGTAAGAATTGGGGGTTGGGGGGGTGGTGTCATTACTTGGTTTGGGAGGAATTTTTTAATGGAAAGATGGAGAAGGGGGTGGGGCAATGACTTAGGGCCACATAGCTAGTGAAGTTGCAACACACTGCATTTTAGTTGTGTGTTTGGGGGGGGGGGGCAGACTGAAAAAACATACATCACCTTCCTGGGGATTTAAATCCAGGACTTCCACTTGAGTTCAGCATTCTAGCCACCTGGTCCACTGTACCTCCAAGTAAATATGTAAATTCTGAAACATGTGATTAGGTGCAACCATCTGGATAGAGTTGTTAAGGAACGCAAGTATGTGACCTCCTATAAAGACATCTTCTTCATCCGTCTTCTTCTGCTTTTCTTCTTCACTCCCTCTTTTACCTCTTCATTTTATTATTAGGTTCTGCTTTTTGCTCCTCTGGTCACCTCGACCATAGACACATCATGCTGTTGTAGAGTTTCTCTGATGTTATCTTTCCATATTGTTCTTGGTCTACCTCTTGCTGTATGTCATTCTCCTCTTTTAATGTGTGTGTTGAATGGTATGGCCTCACAAGCTGTTCTCTCTAAGTGGGCAAACCATTTGATTTGCTGTATCTTCCTGTTTTTTAGAACTGGTTCTGTGGTGACTTCTTCTTCTTATGATCTCATTCCTGATGTTTCCATGTGTGGGTTCTGGGGCCACATTGTGGGGAAAACAAGAATAGACCCACTGCCTCCCCAAAAAGCATGTCGTTAAAGTCGACTAACTGTGGGCTTCCTTTGAAGACAGAATGCAACTGCTCAAAAGGCAAGGAATGAATAATCTGCATAGAATAAGTCAGATCTGTTAAACGAATGTGCATGCAACACTTAGGATTTGGAACAGAGATAGACGAACAACCAGAACTTTCCACTAGAGTTTACAGCCAGTGAACATAAAGAAGAAGAAGAAGATTGCTGATATTATCTCTTCTGGTCACTCCTGCAAACCCTTCTCAAACATTTTACTTCAAGGTTTATAATTTTTTTTTTCTGCTTTGTTGTGAGTGACCTCGTGTCTGGCACTGGTAGCATTGTGTGGTGAGAATGATATTGTAATTTATTAGCATTGGATTCAACCTTGACACCCTAAGAAGCCACAAAACTGAAACTTCCTGTTGGAGCCAATTCCCCATAAATGTAACTTTTCCGACTTGTATATTGTGACCTGTTGACAAGACATAATTAAGTACAACCTTCTGGGTTGGGTTATAAAAGATCACAATTAGGTGACCTCCTGTTAATGTTGTTGATATAGTTCACACCTGGGCATATGTTTGTGATGTCAGGATGTGAATATATTAACTAAAAATAGTTTCAGTGGAAACAAACAATTTCCTTAAAAAAAAATGTTTTTTTTAAGGCCAGGTTGGTATTAAATTTTTCTGTAAGCATCAGTGATAAAGTTCAGAAGTGACTTCCTGTTAATGCTGTTGGCTGAATTCATGCCTGTTTTGTTTTTTCTTTGTTCTCCAGCACCTTCAGCGGTCGAGGCAGAGTTGTTGAGTCTGGACATCAGCCATTCAGACCGACTTCTTTGTGCTGGCACTGAACAGGCAGGGACCGATTCTTACTTACTGTTTTGGTAAGATACAGAGTTTCGGTACAAATCCTCATCCTCATCCTGTGCCATGTCAACTGGAGTAGGCGCTCATGCGCCTCCACAGATCACCATCCATGGTTGCCTGGAACAGCTCTCTTGATGATATCCCTCCATGCCATCGTTTCAGCCCATCCAGCATCATCTCTGATCTGCCTCTACCCTTTTTTTTCCCATGAGAATCACGTTAGCGCAGTCGATAGTAAACTCGCTTTCAAATCCAGCTTTGACTCGCTGCAACCTGTGGCCGGTGTTTGAAACTGGGCGGTTGCCGGCATTCACCCAGCCTCTTGCTAATGGGTACCAGAGTTAACACTCTGGGGTAAATGGAGGAATGTCTCTCCCTCTACGGAGTTACGTGCAGGCGGCGACACAGGCGGAGAGTTTCTTATCAGCTGTTCAAACTGGTAGCAGAGCACGTATGGTTTACAACCGTGTGTAATGACGCTGGTTCACATCTCCCGACTTTACCTTTTTTTTTTACAACTGATCTTTCCAGTTGTCACAGTGTTCTCCAATGTCTTTCTTCTCATTATGTGGCCAAAGAACATTGTTTGTGTCTTTCTTATTGTTGTATATAGAGATCTAGTCGGCTCTGTGGCTAAGTCGATGTGAACGCTTCGAAATGCCAGGATGCCAGGTTCAATCCCAGCTGCGGGCCATGCGCCTTGCGTTGATTTTGACAGTGGTATCAAGAAAGCCGACCGTCCAGAAAGCAATGGCAAACTACTGGATGTAAATTTGCCTAGAAAAAAAACCACACAACAGCCACCCCTGGCTGTTGTGGTTGATTTTGCAACGTCCTGTAAAGGATACGTGACTAACCCTATAGAAATCCACTTTTATTAGTTTCTTTTAAGCAATCATTGATAGTTACTCTGGCCGTCCAAGGTATTTGTAACATTCATCTCAGAAACATCTTTGTTGCTTCCAAATTCTTCCTAATTTGTTCAGTGACATTCCAAGATTCGCTGCCATACAGCAGAACAGGTTCTATGTAACATTTATGATATTTTTCATTTTATGAAATGAAGCTTTTACTTGACCTATTCTGCTTTTAATTTCTGTCACACATTTTCCATCTGATGATATGATTGTTCCCAGATATTTAAATTTATGGACTTATGGTTAAGTTTACAAATCCTCACTGAAGGCAATTTGTTAAATTTTCCTAAATTACAGTTAAGTTAGGTGTAGCTGCTAGATACTCTCCTGGGGATCAGAAGGTCATGCGTTCAGGGTCTGGCGGAGCCCCCAAAAAAAATTTGCCGACCTTGGTTCCCAGGTTGACGGTACCAGATACATTCCTGGGAAGTAAAAGTGGCTGTTATGATGCTGACCAAATTATCCACCGTGTGCCTATTATCTATAAAAATATAGGTCTAGCCCTATATGGGTACCAGATACATTCCTGGGAAGTAAAGGTGGCTGTCTTGATGCTGACCAAATCATCCACCAATAGCCTGTTGGTCTATAAAATATAGGTCAAGCCCTATATGCCCAGTACACCTAAATGTGTGGGAAATAGTCCTTTACTTTATGTTACCGACAGTTTCATATTGTTATTCTCTTAGTCTCCATGAAAGTCTCATTTTGAAAGGCATAACGTCAGAAATAATTTTTTTACCATTATTTTCTTGTTTTGTACTTGTTTTTCGTGTAAATATTTTCATGTTTTTTGCTAGCTGTTCACATAATTTCCCCAGGGACACAAGGCAGAATTCCCTGCTGGGATGTTACAATGAGTGTCACCAGGACGATGTCACACAGGTACGGTAATACCCTGTTCCTCATTCACAATTACCTGTCTCTTCTTCTTCTTCTTTGTTTTTCCCTTGTGGGTTCCTGGGCCACATTGTGTGGCAAAAGAGAAGAATTGACCCACTGCCTCCCTAACTAGCATGTCATAAGAGTTGACTGTTTAGGAGTTTCCTTTAAAGTCAGAATACATCGGCTTAAGAGACAAGGAACCAACAGTCTGCATACAGATAAGATAGATCTGTAAAATTGATGTAAAATATACATCCCTATATGAGACAATTTTTTGTTGTTATTCTAAAGCCCCACCCTGCCTGTCTCTCTAGCGTAGTTGGCTAAACCGGATTGCGCAGTGAGCGGGTGACGAACTCCTTGTGGTCCGGGTTCACTCCCAGGGGTGGGCAGAAAAGCCATATTTCTCCCAGATTTACGGTATTTAAAATGGAATCAAGGCCGAAAGGTTGCGATATCCATAATACCGAGCCTAAGGGTTAACAACTCATGGCTTCTGGATACTAAAACAAATAATAGGTGGTGGAAACTTTGTGTTATGGTTTACAGCTGTACTGTGATATCTACGCCATTCAGCCCAGCTAATCCTATTTCAGCAAAACTCTAATCGGTGGCCTTTTAAAATGTACTGTGCCAGTGGTCTATCCCCCCCCTCTCCACCCCAGTAAAAGGGATTGCCTTTTATTTCTGCATCGATTTCATGTGCTGGCACTTATCCCAGCTGTGCTTTCATATCAGCTGTAATCTCCAGTGAAAAGTTATGGGTGTTCATCCACTTTTGCACTCCAGTCTTGTTCCAGAACTTGTGCTTGGAGTTGAGTCAAGAATTGACATCACAGCACTTGGGGGCATTCCTATGCATGCTTCCCACACATGCTCAGTCCTCATCTTCAGCAGCCAGCGCAGAGTTCTAGTACTGATGGTACCTGTTGCAATCTGATTAAATGTCTGTCTTGCCTTTCCTCTGAGTGTATTGAACCAGTCAGACCCTCTGGTTACACACCCAGATGCCTCATTCTCTCCTGGCCAAAACTTGTGCTTTGCTGCACATCTATTTCACAAATTAGATTATTTGTAAGCAATCTTTTTTTCCTCACCTTCCACGCAGATGCACTCCAACTTCAAAGGAGTCAGCCCTAATAAGTCGACATGCTTGTTATGGGGGCGGTGAGTCTGTTCCTCCCCCTTCTATCCCCTCCCCTTTCTCTCCCCCCCCTCCCCTCCCCATTGGACCCTGCGGGACCCTTACAGAGATACAATTTTATTTACCTTAAAAAATAATTGCTGCTTGTATCTTTATACTTCTCAGGTGTGCTTCCAGCCAGGCAGTGACCGTTACCTGGCGTCTGGCTCTGCTGATGGACTTGTCTGCACATTTGATCTCACAGAGACAGAAGAAGATGATGCCTTACAAATTACCTCTAATGCTGGATCAGATGTGGTGAGAGTTTGGGTGTTTGCTCCAGGTCATGCCTGTGTGGTGGGAAATGAGCAGGTACATAAACTGGCTGGTTCTGCACCGCTTGGTGCTGAATAGATGAAATACATGCTAGATGTTGCAAGGGCCCTTTGAAAACGAGTGAATATTGAGGAGGTACAAATAGATCATTACGGTCTGAGGAGACTAGGAGGGGGGAGGGATCTGGCCGATGCTCACGGGAAAGGCAAGAGGGATATACAGACAGTTACTGGTATCAGAATTGGAGATGGAGCGCTTATGTGGGTGTCTTCAGTGCTGTGATGTTGTTTTTTAATTCAACATTTAAACTTTGGTATGCGATTTGCCCCATTTCTTGATGAGTTAGCATCTGTGGTCTTTTCTGTTTTTATCTTTAAAAGGGCGGTTATTGTTTTATGTTGTGGTTTACAGCTAGGCTGCGACACTCCTTTTTTTTACCCGAACACATCCAATATTGGCAACTTCCCAGGACATTACTTGGGACCCATTTTAGGCAGGGTTGATCTGGGAATCATGGTCAGTTGGAAAAACCTTGATGCAGATTTGAATAACACTAAAACCAATAAATATTTCTTCTTCTTCACTTTTACCGCTTTTGGGTATCGAAGGAGATATAAGGTTCTGCTTGTTTGCTCTTCTGGGGGCCTCGACCATCGACACATTGTGGTGTTGTAGAGTTTCTCTGATGTTATCTTTCCATCTTGTTCTTGGTCTACCTTGTGCTCTACGTCCTCCTTTTTTCAAATATATATATTTTTTTTTTTACGTTTTACTTTTTTTTTTTGGGCGTATGGCATCACAAGGTGTTCTTCCTAAAGGGGCAGACCATTTAATTTGCTGACTTGGTATGTAATTTATAATTGGTTCTGAAAGCACAATGAATAAGTGAACATAAGTGATAGTCAGCTTCAAACAAAATAAAATTACAAACTGACAAAATGGACTTTGCTACAAGAAAGCCTGTATCTACAAAATGGACTTTGCTACAAGAAAGTCTGTGTCGACAAAATGGGCTTTGCTACAAGAAAGTCTGTATCTACAAAATGGACTTTGCTACAAGAAAGTCTGTATCTACAAAATGGACTTTGCTACAAGAAAGTCTGTATCTACAAAATGGGCTTTGCTACAAGAAAGTCTGTATCTACAAAATGGACTTTGCTACAAGAAAGTCTGTATCTACAAAATGGACTTTGCTACAAGAAAGTCTGTATCTACAAAATGGACTTTGCTACAAGAAAGTCTGTATCTACAAAGTTGTCTTCTATATGGTTTTTATCATCATCAAGTACCTTACCAACTTCCATGGGCAATCATGCTTATCTCCAACAGGCTGTCTGTATCAGTTTCCCTCTTCTCATAACATGACCGAAATAATGATGGCTTTCTCCCTGTGATGTTTCTGATCAGTTATCCATGGGCCGTCAGATCTTTCAGAACATCATTTTGGCTGCCCTAGGAGTTTTAACCCACTGACTACCAGCGTCAGACGTTATGCGATGCAGCGACGTTTACTTTATGCTGCCCAGGTCGCACCCCTTGCGATTTTAGGTTTGGACGCTCGCCGTCATGTTAAAATCGCGATTTTTATGATAAATTTAGTTAAAGCCTTTAGCTTATTCATTTGTGTATGGTTAATTAAGGGAGATAACGTTGTAGTGCTTAAAGCAAATATTTGACGAATATATATATATTCTGTTAGCTTCTATGTCGGTAAGACGACGCAATTTTCATTAGGGTGTCAAATTCTCAGGACCATCGTGGTGGTCATATTTCTCCTAATGTTTCTGATGATGCATGTGATTGTCTTGATTTTGCTTCAAAAAAGGGAATTTGAAGATACTGCTGAATAGTTTGATGGCTACGACTATGATAAATTTAACGAAGTGCCATTCAAAACATTGTCGACTGTCAGATAAAGGATTTTTCAGTTGCCTTTTTTGCAACAATCTACAACCACATGATGATGATGATGATTATGGCAGACAAAGTAAACCCCACTGTTTTTCTTCAAATGTGTTCTTGCTTCACTTTTGTGCAAAAATGCGAAATATAATAAATGTTTTTTTAAATATTTTTGAAAAAAAAAAAATTTTTATTAGTCTATGTTGTCAGATAAAAGATTTTCAGTTGCCTTTTTTGAACAATGATGATGATTATGTTAGACAAAGTAAACCCATTTTTTTTTTCTTGCATTGGGTATGAGGGAGGGTGGAAGGCAGTGGCTATGAGGGAGGGCTGAAGGCAGTGGGTATGAGGGAGGGTGGAAGGCAGTGGCTATGAGGGAGGGTGGAAGGCAGTGGGTATGAGGGAGGGTGGAAGGCAGTGGCTATGAGGGAGGGTGGAAGGCAGTGGGTATGAGGGGGGTGGAAGGCAGTGGCTATGAGGGAGGGTGGAAGGCAGTGGCTATGAGGGAGGGTGGAAGGCAATGAGGGAGGGTGGAAGGCAGTGGATATGAGGGAGGGTGGAAGGCAGTGGGTATGAGGGAGGGTGGAAGGCAAGTGGCTATGAGGGAGGGTGGAAGGCAGTGGCTATGAGGGAGGGTGGAAGGCAGTGGCTATGAGGGAGGGTGGAAGGCAGTGGGTATGAGGGAGGGTGGAAGGCAGTGGCTATGAGGGAGGGTGGAAGGCAGTGGCTATGAGGGAGGGTGGAAGGCACTATGAGGGAGGGTGGAAGGCAGTGGGTATGAGGGAGGGTGGAAGGCAGTGGGTATGAGGGAGAGTGGAAGGCAGTGGAGTTGGTTGTGGAAATAAATACTATTCACATTCCACGAAGAGAGCAAAGTTGTCTGTTGGACCTGCTGAGTAATGCTTTGCCATCTTTACTCTCAGAGCACAGAAAGTGGATCACATTTTCTTACTCAAAGCTGTTTTCTTTAACAGGCACGAGTGGGGTGGTGCGGCAGCAACAATAACTGTGTGTATGCTGTGACCAGCGACAATGTCTTCCATGTTTGGGATGCGCTGGAGGTGAGTTGTTCAGTACCATACAATCCAGTATTTGATCCTATAGTAGAACCCTAATACACCAGTTTTTGTATTTGATCCTATAGTAGAACCCTAATACACCAGTTTTTGTATTTGATCCTATAGTAGAACCCTAATACACCAGTTTTTGTATTTGATCCTATAGTAGAACCCTAATACACCAGTTTTTGTATTTGATCCTATAGTAGAACCCTAATACACCAGTATTTGTATTTGATCCTATAGTAGAACCCTAATACACCAGTTTTTGTATTTGATCCTATAGTAGAACCCTAATACACCAGTTTTTGTATTTGATCCTATAGTAGAACCCTAATACACCAGTTTTTGTATTTGATCCTATAGTAGAACCCTAATACACCAGTATTTGTATTTGATCCTATAGTAGAACCCTAATACACCAGTTTTTGTATTTGATCCTATAGTAGAACCCTAATACACCAGTTTTTATATTTGATCCTATAGTAGAACCCTAATACACCAGTTTTTGTATTTGATCCTATAGTAGAACCCTAATACACCAGTTTTTGTATTTGATCCTATAGTAGAACCCTAATACACCAGTTTTGTATTTGATCCTATAGTAGAACCCTAATACACCAGTATTTGTATATTGATCCTATAGTAGAACCCTAATACACCAGTTTTTGTATTTGATCCTATAGTAGAACCCTAATACAACAGTTTTTTGTATTTGATCCTATAGTAGAACCCTAATACACCAGTTTTTGTATTTGATCCTATAGTAGAACCCTAATACACCAGTATTTGTATTTGATCCTATAGTAGAACCCTAATACACCAGTTTTTGTATTTGATCCTATAGTAGAACCCTAATACACCAGTTTTTTATATTTGATCCTATAGTAGAACCCTAATACACCAGTTTTTGTATTTGATCCTATAGTAGAACCCTAATACACCAGTTTTTGTATTTGATCCTATAGTAGAACCCTAATACACCAGTTTTTGTATTTGATCCTATAGTAGAACCCTAATACACCAGTATTTGTATTTGATCCTATAGTAGAACCCTAATACACCAGTTTTTGTATTTGATCCTATAGTAGAACCCTAATACACCAGTTTTTGTATTTGATCCTATAGTAGAACCCTAATACACCAGTTTTTGTATTTGATCCTATAGTAGAACCCTAATTACACCAGTATTTGTATTTGATCCTATAGTAGAACCCTAATACACCAGTTTTTGTATTTGATCCTATAGTAGAACCCTAATACACAGTTTTTATATTTGATCCTATAGTAGAACCCTAATACACCAGTTTTTGTATTTGATCCTATAGTAGAACCCTAATACACCAGTTTTTGTATTTGATCCTATAGTAGAACCCTAATACACCAGTTTTTGTATTTGATCCTATAGTAGAACCCTAATACACCAGTTTTTGTATTTGATCCTATAGTAGAACCCTAATACACCAGTTTTTCGGGTTGCGAGGTCAGGCTCTGTAATTGTTTTTTTTTGTTTTGTTTTTTGGGCACCAGAATAATTGTTTAACCTCACTCTTTAGCTGCCATCTCCATGTGTTATTTGGTCTGCCTTTATTTCTCTGTCTCTGTGGGTTACAGTGCTGTATTAGTGATTACAAACCTGTTCTCTCCACCTGTGCCTGACCTCCAGAGATAGGTTTTGCATGTGTTTTTATGAGACTTATGAGTTGTATATTTACATTTTGTTTCAGTATTCTATTTTTAAATAAGTACTTGGGTGCAAACTTCAACTGCTCCAACATGCTGAGACAAGAAATACAATCTGGAAATAAAGTATACTATGTCCTTCAACATCTGCTAAAGTCGAAGTGTCTGTCTCGCAACACTAGGATCAAAATATATAAAACGTTGACCAGACCAGTCGTTTAAATGACTCCAAAACTTGGAGCACAGCTAAAATAGATGAAGCTTTACGACAGATTTGTGAAAACAGAGTCTTACGATGAATTGTTGGACCCATCAAAGATGCAAACAGCGGTGAATGGAGAGTGCGAAGCAACAACCAAATTCATAATTTGTTTAAATCACCATTGATAACTGGCATCAGGAGAGCTAATAGACTGAAATGGCTGGGGCATATTGAGAGAATGTCAGATGACAGAGAAGTGAAAACTTTATACACGAGGGAGATGAATGGTCGTAGACCACGAGGGGGACCAAGAAGACGAGGGAGATGAATGGAGGGAGACCAAGAAGACGATGGAGAGAAAAGGTCCAGACAGACCTGAAAACACTTGGTGTCATCAACTGGAAAGAGACGGCCAACCAGAGAGAGGAATAGAGGTGGATGATATCTTCAGCGATGAACCTCAAAGGCTCGGAATTTATTATTGTAAGCCATGCAGTTAATATGACAAACACAGGTACAAATAAACTAATAGGGTGATTTCCTGGAGGGCAGGAACAAACGTTTATTTACATTAATGTTAATGGGAAAAATTAGATGCGAGATAAAGGTTATTCAGGATACCGACTAAGGCATGGAGAGGTTTAAAATTGTATCTTAAGGTTCTACTGTACAACCTTTGCACTAAAGCTCTTTGAGCTGGAATACAGCTACAGACATGAAAATATGAAGTCACCTAGCTTTGCGGTAAGGCTTGCCACATAGTCTCCATCCTGGCTTGAGCATTAGAGGATTTGCCTTCACCTATCTTCTCAGGGGTAAAATAGTAGACAGGAACTAACGCAGAGAGATGAGATAGGTAGGCTGGGTAAGTGCGCACATATTTTACCACCCATGCTTTTGTTTTTGACTTTATATATATAATATGCATATTATTACATAAATATAACATGCTTCATTGATGAAATACAACTGCTGTGCGAAAGATGGAAGTTTAGAAGGGCCGAATGTAAGACAGGCCTGCGTGCCTAATTTGTAACCCTTTGAAAATAAAGTTTGTTCGTTCGTTACCATAAGGGACATAACTCAGTTTTGTTGTTGATAAAACAGTGCTGGACACTACGCCATTTAGGTGAGACAGAATCCAACTGACAGATAATGTGATTCTCAAAACACTTCTGTCCTGGGGAAGTAAAGATGGCCGGCGTAATGCTGACCACATTACCCACCGAGTGCCGATTGGTCTGTAAAAATATGGGACGCTCTGCCCACATACCCGATGCTCCTTAGGCGTAATAAGGGATCTTTACTTTTTTTTTTTTTTTTTTACAAAACACTTGCAGACACATTTACCGGGATGGGCGTAATATTACCTAATTATGTGTTTGACTCTAGCTCTTCAAGTGAGATTTCGTCAAGGGCTTTCTAGACACACTTGTCTATTTGATTGTACCACCTCTACACTTTTCCTCTGTATAACAGCCTGTTCCAATATTGGATGCAGTTTATTTTTTATTTTGATGTTTAAACCACACCCTGGCTGTCTTTAGGGGCCCTATATATGGTCTAATGGTTGAACAGGGTGCGACTTTCGCTAGGGGGATTCTTATCTGAATGGTGGCATTTTGTGTCATCGGATGTTTATTGCTCATTGTACAGTCTGAATGGTGGCATTTTGTGTCATCAGATGTTTATTGCTCATTGTACAGTTTTGTTGGGGCTGAACTCAGACAGTCATGGAATAGCCACCCCCCCCCCCCTTTTCCTTTCCTGATCATCGGGGGCCCTGTTATAACCTAACAGTTGAACAGGGTTTCTGGAACTTGCACCTGGTGAAGTCTCATCCGAATGGTGGCACTTTGTGTCACTGGGTGTCATTCATTGTGCAGTCCTAGTATGGTTGAATGTCACTCACTCACTTGTGCTCAATACTTCATGCCTGGTCACTTCAGGTTACTTTATGAACTTCAGGGGCCCCCACATAACCTCCAGGGACCCGCACATATAACCTTCAGGGGCCCAGATATAACCTTCAGGGGCCCTTATTTAACCTTCAGGAGCCCCAATATAACCTTCAGGGGCCCCAATATAACCTTCAGGGGCCCCAATCTAACCTTCAGGGGCCCCAATATAACCTTCAGGGGCCCCGATATAACCTACAGTTCAGTGTAACTTACCAGGATTTGTACAGGTGCAGTTCTTATCCTTAAGGTGTTAACCCTGCAGATGGCAATTCTGGAGGGGACAAACTTGAACTGACGCTCCGTGAGCTAATGTAGTATAACCGGTACACAGTTGCTTACTAGTTTAAAGGTCCCTGTGTGGGTTCTGGGGGGGGGGGGGGGGGGGAATAGACTTGCTGCCTCAGTAACTAGCATGTTGTAAGAGTCGACTAATTAGCGGTTTCCTTTGAAGTCGGAGTGCATCTGCCTGAGAGGCAAGGAACTGACTGTCTGTTTACAGATAAGCCAGGTCTGTCAAACGTGTGTGCATGCAACACTCAAGTTCTGGGACAGGGCAGAAGTCCAGGCTCTGACAAATAACTAGAACTTTCCACCAGAGTTTTCAGCCGGTAAGCTCAGAGAAAGAAGAAGAAGTTTGAAAAGGTCTTAGATTAGAATCCTTTTCGACTTACAGTATTTACATGAGCTTCCAATCAACCAAGCCTGAAAAGGATGTCAGGACAAGTCATGGGAAGCAAAGGAGGCTGGCATGATGTTGACCACATCACCCATTTACTGTCAGTTGATCGGTTAGAACAAGAGTCTAACAGCATATGTGTGACCAGTCATGTAAAACGTAAAAGTCCTTTTTCCATATAGGGCTAGACCTATATTTTTATAGACCAATCCACACAAGATGGGTGATGTGGTCAGCATCATGCTGGCCACCTTTACTTCCCGAGACTGCACCCGGTACCCACTCAAGGCTGGGTCGACCTGGGAGTCGAGGTCTTTTTTGAAAAAAGTCCGGCTCCGCCAGGGGGCTAGCCCGCGACCTTCCGATCTGCACATGAGCGTCTAGCTGATGCGCCACGGCGACTCCCAGTGATGTAAAACAGGTTTTTTTACTTTGTTAATGAGCTTGTATTGATTGTTTGCAGGGGGACAGTTGCTGCACTGTGGATTGCTTCAGTGGAGGGAGTGAGGTTAGATCATTGTTTGCTGTTTTAGCATCACTTACTGAATAATAGTTGTTAGTCATATCATTTTCCCCATGTGGATTCTGGTGCTCCATTGTAGAGGGAAAACAAGAATAGACCCAGGGCCTCAACAACAAGCATGTCCAAGGAGTTGACTAATTCCTTCAAAGTCTGCGTGCATCTGCCTCTGCAGCAAGGAACAGCCAACTATAGACACAAAAAGCCAGTAAAACGGATGTAAACACAAAACTCAGGCCCTGGCACAAAGTCAAAGTTCAAGTAGACAAACAACCAGGGCTTTCCACCAGAGCTTACAGCCGGTGAACAAAGAAGAAGAAGAAGTAGTAAGTCAAGGAAAAAGTGTATAAGGTTAGGATTTATGTAGCTCTTAAGAATTCTCTTTGCCCGGCTCTCTAGCGTAGTTGGCTAAACCGAATTGCATGGAGACCGGGCGACGAACTCCTTGTGGTCCGGGTTCAATCCCGGGGGTAAGCAGGAAAGCCACATTTTCTCCCAGATTTACGGTATTTACAATGGAATCAAGGCCGAAAGGTTGCGATATCCATAATACCGAGCCTAAGGGTTAACAACTCATGGCTTCTGGATGCTAAAAAATAAAAAGAATTCTCTTTCTTGTCTTCATTGACAAAGAATGGTTGCATCATATATTATTCTATTCCTCTACATTACACACAGAGTAGAATGAAAATTATTGTGTACCTACATTATCAGTAGAGGTAACTTGGGGTGGCTGCTGCATTGGAGGACTGAGCATGCATGGGAATGCCCAGTGTAGAATAACATCAATATGATAAAATCTCATTCAGTTATTGATAGATGGGAGTAAGACAGACAGATAGTCTTACCCACTGGTTCTGAAAATTGTGTGTGTGCTCTAGTTTTTTTGTTTTGTTTTTATTTCTGTATTATTTCTGTGAACAAACATGTCTTTGCCTTCTCATCCACCAGAGTACGGGTGTGGACTACATCGTTGACTGTATACCTGAACTGACGGCAAATAATGACAGATCTAGTGCTGTCTTGTTGCTGGGCACGCATAGGTAAGTGCTGTTTCTGTCCAGGAGATAAATCTTTGCTGGCCATTTGTTGATTGTCAATACATGTTGATGTTAATAAATCCGTCTACCTGAGGAGTTCCAGATTTGTGAAAATGCCATATTTTTGTATTGTTATATATGCTGTGTATATTAACCCTACCAGACCTGAAGCCCTGTCCCTATAACCTGAGTTCCTAGTCATTACCGCAAAAAAAACCAACTTTGTTTCTCAAAGTGAACACCAGATGTTGCCGTTTGATGGACACACTCCCTTTTCCTACTATCGATCTATTTTAAGATTTATAATTTTCAAGATTTTCCTCATCATTCGCGCTCTCACTGACAGTGTCACTTCAAGAACGTATTCTTTATGAAATTATCACAGAGTCTGAATAAACCAAAGTATCGATCACCTGTTGGACTGTGAAAAGCCTAGAACTTGGTTTATCAGCCGATCGTTTCATTGTGAATTTTCATAATTTTTCCATGTAAAACAACATAAGTATAATCCAAACACATGCGGGCAGACATTTGCAATGTCTAGCAAAGAGGATTGATAATGATTGGGTGGTTATTTTTAGTCCGTGACGCATCATTTTCCCGTACTACGCAAAAAGCAGAAAATTAGGGCCAGCGGTGTAGAGACAGGTTAAGAAATTCCCGGTGAACCGGGCCAGCGAACTGGTCAGGCTAAACAGAAAATGTCTACCTGTACAGTTTATTAAAGAAAGAAATTTAAACACTAATAGAGAAGCAAATTATTTTTTAAGGTTTACCATAACGTTTGACATAAATTTGTTTCAACGTAATAAAATAGTCCCTCAGAATTTTAATTTGAAAAAAAGATCCTCAGAATTTTAATTCAACTAAATACAATAAAGCAGCAGAATCGTAAGTGTTATTATTGCTGTGCCCCTGAAATCCAAATAAACCAGACTATCGATGGCTGGATTTTTTAAATGCCAGCCTGTATAAGTTGCAAAAGCTATGTTTTTCTATCTGTATCTCTCTGTTTCTCTCACTCTGTCTTTCTCTCTCTCTCTCTCTCTCTCTCTCTCTCTCTCTCTCTCTCTCTCTCTCTCTCTCTCTCTCTCTCTCTCTCTCTCTCTCTCTCTCTCTCTCTCTCTCTCTCTCTCTCTCTCTCTCTCTCTCTCTCTCTCTCTCTCTCTCTCTATCTCTTTGTTCTTTATAATCGTCATTCTATACATTTATCTATATTAATACAATGTATATATAAATATTTTCATGCTGCTGGATTTACTGAGGAGGGGATCTGAGCACTTATGGGCTAAATGGTTTGATGTGCAGTGAGGATAATCGGTCAACAGACTAACTGCATAAACATTTATTTTTCCTCAGCATCCATTCTGTCTGTTAACATGATCTATTTCTTGTCTCTGTATCTACCATTCTCAGTATCCATTCTGTCTGTTAACATGATCTATTTCTTGTCTCTGTATCTATCATTCTCAGCATCCATTTTGTCTGTTAACATGATCTATTTCTTGTCTCTGTATCTATCATTCTCAGCATTCATTTTGTCTATTAACATGATCTATTTCTTGTCTCTGTATCTATCATTCTCAGCATCCATTCTGTCTGTTAACATGATCTATTTCTTGTCTCTGTATCTATCATTCTCAGCATCCATTCTGTCTGTTAACATGATCTATTTCTTGTCTCTGTATCTACCATTCTCAGCATTCAGCATTCTGTTTATGTTTTACTATGTACGCTTATAAGAAAGACAGTCGACGTTCTTTGACCATGTGATTAGAAGAGACTCATTTGAGAATATCGGTATGACCGGAGAGATCAGTGGTAGCAAAGGTAGAGGCAGACCAAGAGAAATGATGCTTGACAGCCTGTAGTGATGGCATTATGGAATATAGTCCGAAGAATTGATACAAAATACCAGGGGCTGAGATGCTATTCACTTTCTATCTTTCTAACCCTGTGTATTTCAGTGGAAGCCTGCAGCTGCGACTCTGTCCTGACCAAAGTGCAGACACTCACACACTTGCCAGTTTGGAAGGAGGTCACACAACAACTATCCGGTGCTCTGTTTGGGACCCAAAGGTATTTTCTCTTTCATACTTAGCAGTTGTTAAATGTAGTATTATGAATTTGGCTATCCTCCAAATAACGGGCACATATTATGGCGGCCGCAAAAACTCCCTAACAGGGCCTCAGTCACATGTCAGTTGCGCACTTCCGGCGACTTAATTTGCGGACTTCCGGCGACTGCCGCCACCACCGAGAGTATCTCCCTCACGGAGTGGATTGGGGCTAAATTATATGGCTGGGACTTACGAGCAGCAGCTTCCACATCTCCTGCAGCTTTGCTCGTGAATCCCAGCCATCTAGTTTAGCCCCTATCCACGTCGCGTGTAGCGGTGTGGGAGATACTCTCGACGGTGGCGGCAGTCGCCGGAAGTCCGCAAATTAAGTCGCCGGAAGTCCGCAGTTTACATTTGACCGAGGCCCTGTTTTTTTAGCCGCCATAATATGTGCCCGTTATTTGGAGGATAGCCTTGAATTCAATAATTAGGTCATGGGGAAGACCAGGGAACAAATGGGTTGCCATGATTGCCAAGGTCTGCTCCAGATCTGTTATCTGAAGAAGATTAAGCATCTGTTATCTGAAGAAGATTAAGCATCTGTTATCTGAAGAAGATTAAGCATCTGTTATCTGAAGAAGATTAAGCATCTGTTATCTGAAGAAGATTAAGCATCTGTTATCTGAAGAAGATTAAGCATCTGTTATCTGAAGAAGATTAAGCATCTGTTATCTGAAGAAGATTAAGCATCTGTTATCTGAAGAAGATTAAGCATCTGTTATCTGAAGAAGATTAAGCATCTGTTATCTGAAGAAGATTAAGCATCTGTTATCTGAAGAAGATTAAGCATCTGTTATCTGAAGAAGATTAAGCAACTGTTATCTGAAGAAGATTAAGCATCTGTTATCTGAAGAAGATTAAGCATCTGTTATCTGAAGAAGATTAAGCATCTGTTATCTGAAGAAGATTAAGCATCTGTTATCTGAAGAAGATTAAGCATCTGTTATCTGGAGAAGATTAAGCATCTGTTATCTGAAGAAGATTAAGCAACTGTTATCTTGAGAAGATTAAGCATCTGTTATCTGAAGAAGATTAAGCATCTGTTATCTGAAGAAGATTAAGCATCTGTTATCTGAAGAAGATTAAGCATCTGTTATCTGAAGAAGATTAAGCATCTGTTTAGCTGAAGAAGATTTTATCTGAAGAAGATTAAGCATCTGTTATCTGAAGAAGATTAAGCAACTGTTATCTGAAGAAGATTAAGCATCTGTTATCTGAAGAAGATTAAGCATCTGTTATCTGAAGAAGATTAAGCATCTGTTATCTGAAGAAGATTAAGCATCTGTTATCTGAAGAAGATTAAGCATCTGTTATCTGAAGAAGATTAAGCATCTGTTTATCTGAAGAAGATTAAGCATCTGTTATCTGAAGAAGATTAAGCATCTGTTATCTGAAGAAGATTAAGCATCTGTTATCTGAAGAAGATTAAGCATCTGTTATCTGAAGAAGATTAAGCATCTGTTATCTGAAGAAGATTAAGCATCTGTTATCTGAAGAAGATTAAGCATCTGTTATCTGAAGAAGATTAAGCATCTGTTATCTGAAGAAGATTAAGCATCTGTTATCTGAAGAAGATTAAGCATCTGTTATCTGAAGAAGATTAAGCATCTGTTATCTGAAGAAGATTAAGCATCTGTTATCTGAAGAAGATTAAGCATCTGTTATCTGAAGAAGATTAAGCATCTGTTATCTGAAGAAGATTAAGCATCTGTTATCTGAAGAAGATTAAGCATCTGTTATCTGAAGAAGATTAAGCATCTGTTATCTGAAGAAGATTAAGCATCTGTTATCTGAAGAAGATTAAGCATCTGTTTATCTGAAGAAGATTAAGCATCTGTTATCTGAAGAAGATTAAGCATCTGTTATCTGAAGAAGATTAAGCAACTGTTATCTGAAGAAGATTAAGCATCTGTTATCTGAAGAAGATTAAGCATCTGTTATCTGAAGAAGATTAAGCATCTGTTATCTGAAGAAGATTAAGCATCTGTTATCTTATCTGAAGAAGATTAAGCATCTGTTATCTGAAGAAGATTAAGCATCTGTTATCTGAAGAAGATTAAGCATCTGTTATCTGAAGAAGATTAAGCATCTGTTATCTGAAGAAGATTAAGCATCTGTTATCTGAAGAAGATTAAGCATCTGTTATCTGAAGAAGATTAAGCATCTGTTATCTGAAGAAGATTAAGCATCTGTTTATCTGAAGAAGATTAAGCATCTGTTATCTGAAGAAGATTAAGCATCTGTTATCTGAAGAAGATTAAGCATCTGTTTATCTGAAGAAGATTAAGCATCTGTTATCTGAAGAAGATTAAGCATCTGTTATCTGAAGAAGATTAAGCATCTGTTATCTGAAGAAGATTAAGCATCTGTTATCTGAAGAAGATTAAGCATCTGTTATCTGAAGAAGATTAAGCATCTGTTATCTGAAGAAGATTAAGCATCTGTTATCTGAAGAAGATTAAGCATCTGTTATCTGAAGAAGATTAAGCATCTGTTATCTGAAGAAGATTAAGCATCTGTTATCTGAAGAAGATTAAGCATCTGTTATCTGAAGAAGATTAAGCATCTGTTATCTGAAGAAGATTAAGCATCTGTTATCTGAAGAAGATTAAGCATCTGTTATCTGAAGAAGATTAAGCATCTGTTATCTGAAGAAGATTAAGCAACTGTTATCTGAAGAAGATTAAGCATCTGTTATCTGAAGAAGATTAAGCATCTGTTATCTGAAGAAGATTAAGCATCTGTTATCTGAAGAAGATTAAGCATCTGTTGTCTGAAGAAGATTAAGCATCTGTTATCTGAAGAAGATTAAGCAACTGTTATCTGAAGAAGATTAAGCATCTGTTGTCTGAAGAAGATTAAGGAGATCTTCAGTTTTCTCCATTAACATCATTGAAGTGTTCAGGGCAGATGTTGAAGAGTCTTCTGTGTGTTCTTTCTAATATTTCTTTTTTTTTTTTCATTTATATGAGGCCATGCCTATTTTTTAAGCCTAGAATTAATAAATGAATATTTTTAACACATTCTGTGTATAAGAGGCCCCCCCCCCACCCAAAAATTTTAATTAAGTACATTTTGGAAAACATATCATCTTATACGTGGAAAAATATGGTGAACTGATATTCATTACCTTAACTCTTTGAGTCCCAAGGAATGCATCATACGTTAATAGGTTCCTGTCTAGAAGCCCAATGAACGCATGAAGCGCCGATTTTATGATTCTCTTTGCTACCCCCTAGGCCGGTGATGCTAAACTTCCTGGGACTCAAAGAGTTAAAGCTGTTCTTGATGACCTCATTCCATATTTTGTCACTGTGGTTTCCCCTCCCTGTGTGTTATTTTATTTCTTCTTCTTTTTCTTATCTTCCGCCTTGTACCTTTTTGGATAGACACATACATTGCTGACCGGAGGAGAGGACTCTTTGGTGTGTTTGTGGTCAGCAGATCCTTCTGTCCAGTTCTTGGCAAGAAGCAACAAGACAGATTCAGCGGTAAGTACTGTATTTGTGTGCATCATCATAAAGTGTATTCCTGGTTGTAAATTTGAACAAAGAGCACGCAAACAGAAGATTGCACAATATATTGCCTGCCATATTTACCTATATCTCCTCAGATACTTTACTGCAGAAATAATCACAATGTCTCATTTGAGAATGGAGGTGGAGGCAGTCTCTGCTGCCTTCCGCTGGCTTGAGAATCAGCTGTACACACATGCCATGATTGTAACTGACTCACAGAGCATGTTGCGAAAGGTGAAAACGGGTATGCTTCGTGCAGAGTGGCAAGCATTGCTTCAGAGGTCCCGGATAGTTAACATCCTTTGGATATTTTCTCCAGGTCATGCCTGTGTGTTGGGAAATGAGCAGGCAGATTGACTGGCTGGCTCTGCACCACTTGGTGGTGAATTGATGCATGACAATTAGATATTGTGAGGGCCCTTTTTGAGTAAGTGAATAGTGCAGAGGCGTAGATAGATCATTATGGTCTAAGGAGAATGGCGCTGCGAGGAGTTACCAGGGGATCCGGCCGACGCTCAACACTTAGGAGAAGAATGAGTCAGATATACATTCAGATGGTTACAGGGGCCATCAGAATTGAAACTCTTCGATTGCTGCTGAAGATGGGGACTGAGCACTTATGGGAGTGTCCCTAGGGCTGTGATGTCGATTCTTAATTCAACATTCAACATTTGTACAGACTAAATGAAAACTCCCAATTTCACCATCTGAGATCAAGTGAATGATGATAATATCAGGCAGATCGTTGGAACGACACCTTCTACTAGATTCATCGAGAAACCACAGATCAAGTGGTTTGGCTTTCTCGTTATAGCGCAGCAGCACTAAAGACCATCACAGGCACTGCATCTCTGAAGAAAAATTTGGATCGACAACATACACTTTTTCACCTTCACAGCATGGCAATAGCCAGCGCCAGACAACATGGAATCGCAAATGATTTCTCCTCACGAAGTTCAACAGCAAAAGTGGTTTATGATGATGATGACAAAGTAAATATCGGATTTGGAACTCTTTGCTTGCTGCTGAAGATGGAGACTGTGTGTTAATGGGAGTGTCCCAAGTGCTATGATATTGATTCTTAATTGAACATTCTGTTTTGACAACGTAAATAAGTCAAATGATAGGATACATCCCTGTCTATCATGTAGTTTAATGTTTTGGAAAGTTCTCACTTGAATATCTGTTCTTGTAACTGCTTCTTGTTCCCACTATATTTTTGTTTCTCATGTTATTCTCAGACCTTTGCCATCAATGTTTAATGTTTCCCATATTCTGATAATTTCTTTATGTTCATCATTTCAAAATCTTTGGTTTAATCAACAAAGCACTAATTTAGATCTCTGTTTATTGCAATTATTCTGTCTGGTAAAGTTCTCAAGATCTGGTCTCGTAGTCTTAGTTTCAGCTTTATAGCAAACGGGTCACCCCATCGTTGCTTCGCTCCTGTGCCAACAAAAAACACACAGAATGTTTATCACAGTCCCTTGTGGAAAGATTGATAGACTGCTGTCTCAGCATATCTAGCATACTCACATTAAAGCATACGGTAGCCATCCGAAGTGCTAACACAAACAGTCCGACACTAGAAATGCAGTTCATCATTGATGGTAGCAGTTCTCAAGATAAATCTGGCATTGTTTTGCTTAGCACAAATGCTTATTTCCATTGTGCTGGTGAACATTAGCGAAAGCCAATGGAAAATCTTTAGTGCAAGACAGCCTAGCATACGATATCACAACATCTAGCATGAGAATGGAGGTGGGGGCGGTGACTACAGTTCTCCGGTGGCTAGAGAACAAGATGCATACACATGTTGTAATTTTAACAGACTCTGAAAGCATGCTGAGAAAGGTGAAGACAGGGATGCTTCGAGCAGAGTAGCAAGCTTCACTGGGAAGGTCACGGGTAGTGAGCATACTTTGAATCTTTTTTCCAGGCTATGCCAGCTTAGTGGGTACTGAACAGGCAGACAGATTGGCTGGATCTGCACCACTAGGTGGTGAATTGATACATGACAAGGCAGATGTGGTCAAGACCCTTTGGAAAAAGCAACGGAATCAGTAGAGATAGAATATTATTATGGCCTGGAGAGAATAAGGTACCTGGGTGTAACCAGGTCTGGCCTGCTCACTACACTCAGAGGAAAGGCAAGATTGACATATAACCAGGTTGTGACCGGTACCATCAGTATTGGAACTCTCTGCATTGGCTGCTGAAGATGAGGATGGAGCATGTATGGGAATGCCCCAAGTGCTGTTATGTCAATTCTTGACTCAACTCAAGTCAACTTAACATAACAAAATGCTTGACCCTTTAAGGTTGTGGAGGTGTATCGATGGAAGCACAATACAGTATTAGGGAGAAATATGTGACCTAGAATATGTTTGGCCTCTTCAACAGGTTAAGATGAAAAACAAAGTTAGCATCAGTGAGCACACAAAGAAACCATACAGCAAGAAGCAAAAGTCATGACTTCAAGACTGCACGCTTGACTGAAATTATAATTTTGTTTGTGCCTGAATTGGACCATTTGTTTTCTATTTATTTTAAATACAGTCAACACACCATGTCTTATCGTAGGGCCACAAACATTATTAAAGCACCATGTCTTATTCCTGTGCCATGCACTTCATCAACACATCATGTCTTGGTCCTCTGCCATAAACATCAACACACCATGTATTAGTCCTGTGCCATAAACATCTGCATATCCTGTGTTATTCCTGTGCCACAAACATCATTAATACATCATATCCTTTTCTTTTCCTGTTCCACAAACATCATCAACATATCATATCTTTTTTCCTGTTCCACAAACATCATCAATACATCATATCCTTTTTCCTGTTCCACAGACATCATCAACACATTATATCCTTTTTCCTGTTCCACAAACATCATCAACACATTATATCTTTTTCCTGCCCCACATACATCAACACATCATGTCTTGGTCCTCTGCCACAGACATCATCAACACACTGTGGGTTAGTCCTGCCCCACAAATATCATCAACACATCATGTCTTGGTCCTCTGCCACAGACATCATCAACACACTGTGGGTTAGTCCTGTGCCACAAACATCATCAATACATCATATCTTTTTTCCTGCCCTACAAACATCAACATATCCTGTCTTATTCCTGTTCCAAAAACATCATCAACATATCATATCTTTTTCCTGTGCCATAAACATCATATCTTTTTCTGTGCCACAAACATCATCAACAAATCATATCTTTTTCTGTGCCACAAACATCATCAACACATCATATCTTTTTCTGTGCCACAAACATCATCAACACATCATATCTTTTTCCTGTGCCACAAATATGAATACATCATATCTTTTTACTGTACCACAAACATCATATCTTTTTCTGTGCCACAAACATCATCAACAAAGCATATCTTTTTCTATGCCACAAACATTAACACATCATATCTTGTTCTGCACTCAGCCTCATTCTCACTTTCAAGTCGCTTTCATCTACCCTAAACATCATCATCATTTCTTATCATGGGCTCCGGGGCCTCTTTTTTTAAGGGTGGTTGGAGGGGGGGGGGGCAAAAATAGACCCACGGCCGGCCAACAAGCATGTCGTAAGAATTGACTAATTTTTCTTCTTCTTCTTCTATCGTTCGCTTAAAATAAATTATCTATATCTGCAGTGTTGTCTCTAGTATTTGTCACTGTCTTTTGTAATTCACTCAGCGACCCTGAAAGTTTGACTGGCACCGATGTTTCTCTTGGCCAAATGTTTTGCCTTGATATGTTGTATTTGGGACAAACTTGGAGGACATGATCTGTTGTCTCAGGTGCCAATCAACATGTGCACATGGCTGATTCTCCAGTCTTACATTTGGTGTACATGTGGCTGCGAAGTCGATTGTGTCCTGTTCTAAGGCGTAGAGTAATAACTTGCTCGGTCTATCCATAAAATTGTCATTGTCTTGTGCCAGTTTCGGTGGCTTTCTGATTGATTTGATCATTTTCTTCTTTTGTTGATAAGAGACTGGTACGTCAGGTTGTTCTTCATTTGCACCTTGACTGATTAGGGATTCAAACTGGGAGTACATCATCATCATCCTGAGAGGGAAGGAAACCATAGTCTGTATACTAATAAGCCATGTATGCACACAAAACTTAGGTTCTGGAACCAGACTAAAATCCAGAAGTGGACAGGCAACCAGAACTTTCCGCTAGAGTCTACATCTGGTGAACAAAAGGAAGAAGAAAAAGATGTCTTAGTCCTGTCCCATATGCATCTCTTCTTCTTCTGCACTAATCATTGTGTCCCTTATATCTTCTCCTTTTGCCCTACACATCATCACTATCATCTCTGTGTCTTCTGTCTTTCATCCCCTAATAGAGCGTAGACCATAAAAAAGGTTCAGGAGACCATGGCCTTATACAGCCTTCCAAGGCAACAGAGGAAGGTCTTGGATGGCGCAAGCTGAAGACACAATTAGACATGTGTGTAGATTTGATAACACTGGGCGAGGAGAAGAGTGGGTCAGAATGTCCCAGCAAAAGTCAAGACTTATGTAGGATTCTGGTTACATTAGGTGGTGAGTGCAGGAACAGGAAAGCTGGTGTTGCAAATAATCCATAATAATTCTCACCCAGGTGATGTGATTATCTGTACAGATGGCTCTGTGTTGAGAGGCAGATGAAGTGCACGGGTGTTCTTAGCAAAAGTGAGTGGACGTGACTTGGTGCAACAAAGCCTGCCATATGATACCATAACATCTAGTTTGAGAATGGAGGTGGACACAGTAGCTGCAGACTTTCGCTGGCTTTTAATCAGCTGTACAGACATGTCGTACATTGTAACCGACCAGCTTCATTCAGATTCGTCACAACACAATTTATACGACACTAATAACTGACATTGTTTATATATATATATATAAATATATATATATATATATATATATATATACCTAGCCTAAAACTATCATGCTTCCCCCACAGAAGAGTATTGCATTTCACAGATATAACATCGCTTATATTATTGCCGGAACAAATAGGGCGTCCGTCTCAAGCGCTGGAGGTCCGGGTTAAAGCCCAGGTGAAGGCTGGGATTTTTTCTTGTGGACTTCTAGTAATTTTCCCCTGGTCTCTGGGTAGTAAGATCAGACGCCTGTGTGTTTTATTGTGCACGTAAAAAAAAAATCTGTGGCAGTTGGAAATCGAAAAGAGAAGCTTACCGGGGCTGCCTGGGCAAAATGTTGAGTTAAAAATCTCCCAAAGTATTTCAAAATCCTTGCCAGTGCTACGGAGTTCGTGCACTGCGCTGAGATTCTTCGGGGGCTTGAGGTAGAAGCTGAACTGAGCACTTGTGGGTTACTACCCTTGTGCCATGATGTTGATCCGTTGTTTAAACCTAAACCTGAGCCAGAATAAAAAAAAACTATTAATCTGTTCTTGAGCTTTATAACAGTTCACTCGTTCACACATTCTTGCATATGTTATTTCATCTAATCTCGTGTCTTCCGTCAACAGTCATTCATATATGGTCTTCAGAATATCTCCCTTGTCCAGTACGAGTGTAGGGTAAAAGTAACGCTGATCTTCCAACGCCACGCTCTTATACACACTAGCTCACTTCTGATTGGTAGTTCCTGAACCTCTCACCTTGGCACTAGGTTACAGGGGTGTTCCGCAATGCCATTGATATCGCGTGTTGTATATTTCAGCACGCCAGTGCTTTTTAACACTCCAAAAACATGGAGAAACTGGATCTAACACAACACCCCTAGAGAGTGCTGCAACATTTGTCACAGGCATTCGTTTTCTCAGAATGAAAACGTAAATGCAAGACATCACAGAAAGCAAACAACAGAGCGGGACACACACATAACCTCTAGGAAAGTTGACCAGCCCAACAAACTTGTGAATGAAAAGTGACCTACTCTATTTGGGAAGATTAACGTGAACCTAGCCCGAGTGTAGTTGCCCCAGCCCGTTGAAAGGTGTTCTCTGGTGCGACTGCAGCAGCTAAATCATCACCTAAACAACGCCCCCCCCCCCCCCCCCCCCCTCTTCCCGTTTTCCTTATGTTGTCAGGCCATTCTTAGCTTGTATCGCTGCAGGAGATTACCAAGGGATGTAACCGACGCCCAGCACTCAAAGGAAAGACCAGACGGATGTACAATCTGGCAGTTGCTGGTACCATCGGAATTCGAACAATCCGCTTGCTGCTGAAGATCGGAACAGAGCGCTTACAGAGTGCTATGATGTAGATTCTTAATTCAACATTCCGATCTGGTATGTAGTTATAAACGATCCAGTAGCTGTATGAGTTCCTTGCTTGTATGATGTGGTTCTACAGTACGGAGGTCACACACGTTTAGCGAAAGTGCAGATTTATTTATTTCTATATGTATGTATGTATATATATATATGGGTGGCGGATAGACGCTCGCATGCCGATCGGAAGGTCGTGGGTTCGCTCCCTGGCGGAGCCAGACTTTTTTCAAAAATGACTTTGACTCCCAGGTCGACCCAGCCTTGAGTGGGTACCGGCTGCAGTCTGGAAAAGTAAAGGCGGCCGGCGTGATGCTGACCCCATCACCCATCTTGTGCCGATTGGTCTATAAAAATATCGGTTTAGCCCTATATGCCCTATACGCCTAAAGGCGTGAAAAAGGGCTCTTCACTTTACTATATATTCGCTAGGAGTGACCAGGAGAATCTTGTCGACGCAACACTCAGGGGAACGGCAAAACAGACATATAATCTGTTATTGGCTATATCGGAATTGAAACCTTTCGCTTGCTACTGAAGACGAGGACGGAGCACTTACGGGAATATTCCGACTGCTGTGATGTCGGTTCTAGGCTGATTACTCGACATTCAAGCTCACAATAGAGTCCGAAGCAGCACTGCCATCGTAAGAACACAGGCCAGACAGGTTAACAATAACACTGTTCGCACCTCATGCACGGCTAGCCTGTACCGCAGAAGAGATTAAGGTATCTGGCCAACAGGTGCGATCCTGCCAGTCAAACTATGGGACACCGGGAAAGACCGCAAATTCACCGCCTGGCTTATAACACTTGCTGGAATAAATGACCGAAGAAGGAAGAAAGAGAAGAAGAAGAAGAACGAACTAACTTTATCAAAGTGTCACAAATTGGGCATGCAGGTCCGTCTTACATTCGGTCCTTCCAAACACCTGTCTTTCACATAGCAGTTGTATTTTATCAATAAAGCATGTTATAAAAAGCGAAGGACCCTTTTCCGCGCCTTTAGGCGTTTAGGGCATATAGGGCTAGACCTATATTTTTATAGACCAATCGGCACAAGATGGGTGATGTGGTCAGCATCGCGCCGGCCGCCTTTACTTCCCGGGACTGCACCAGGTACCCACTCAAGGCTGTGGCGACAAAGTCATTTTTGAAAATAGTCCGGCTCCGTCAGGGAGCGAACCCACGACCTTAGGATCCGCCGCGAGCGTCTAGCCGCTCGGCCACGGCGACTCCAAGCATGTTATATTCAAATAATAATATGCATATTGTGAATATCAAGAAAAAAATAGGAGGGGGTGACAAGAAGGAGGATGAGGCGGAGATTGTGGCGGGGGAGGAGAAGAAGAAGAGGAATAGATGGATAGTCGTGCAGATACGTAACTAGCAGCGCCGCTTGGCTCGACACAACCAGTGAAAGACACACATGAAGCAATCAAGCATTAAAATACCCAGCCCAGACACATCTAGTGCATGTGCGTGCGTGAGTACGTTCGACTCTTTAATCCACCAGCACCGAAAGATGCTTGTCAAGATCAGGTGTTCAGCCCTGAGGCAGCCAATCCCCAAAATCGCTGTACCAGAACTCTCCTCGCTCGCTCCTGATTTGAAGAAGGGAAAAAAAATTAACGGCTTTTATCTCGTGGCGGTTTCGCTTCAATTTTTTTCCCCAAAGTCTGCAAGTAATCGCGGCCTGCCACAGCTGCAGTTATCTGATAAATCTTTAACCCTTCGTACAGTCACGCGAGAATATAAGTGGTATCGTGAATATAGAGTTTCTAATCGCGAAATACCCGGTTCGATCTCAGATGCTGGTGATTCGGCTGCATACCGCTTTGCGTACAATTCAGCAATGGTATTGGGGGTCGACCGTTGAGTAGACAATGGAGGTTTGGGGAAGGCTGGAGGGGGGGGGGTGGATGTTCTTCCTTTTGACTATCCTCCGAATAACGGTCCTAAAAATATATAATATACTCTAACAGAGCCTCAGTCACATGTAAAATGCGGACTTCTGGCGACCACCGCCACCGCCGAGAGTATTACTCACGAGCAAATAAAATGAAGGAAGCTGCAGGAGATGCCGTAGCTGCTGCTCGTGAGTCCCAGCCATCTAGTTGCGACGAGTTAGATACTCTCGGCGCTGGCGGTAGTCACCGGAGGTCCGCAATTTACATGTGACTGAGGCCCTGTTAGGGTATATTTTCGGCCTCGATAATTAGGGACCGTTTTTCGGAGGGTACCCTTCCTTTTTAATATTCATCCTCCGCTGAGCAGGGGATTAATGAATGTATGAGTTTCACTATTCCATTCTTCCAGCGCCACCTGGTGTAGAAGGAGGAAAAATGCCTAAACGGGTTACTAAAATTATAGCATACCATGCAAGTGTGCGGAGAGAGAAGCGGATGTCGAGCCGTTAAGAACGTTGGGCTGTCATGTCGGAGACCTAAGTTCGATTCTTGTGTGGTTTCCATGGCATTACTGTTGGGGGTGAGATAAACCCATTGCCCGCTCCACCCCCTTCCCCTTTTTTTTCAACAAGGATGTCGTAAAAGTCGACTAATTAGAGGTATTATCTTCTTAGTCGGGGTGCATCTACCCGAGAAGCGAGGAACCAACTGGCTGCATAGAAATAAGCCAGATCTGTAAAACGGATGCGCTCTCAAATCTTAAGTTCTGGAGAAAGACTAAAGTCCAGAAGTACGCACACAGAGCACTTTCCGTCGGAATTTGCAACCGAATGAACATGAATAAAAAGAAAGAAGAAATAATCGCTGCGCAAGCGGTAAAGATTTTCCCCCTTCCATAACGTCTATGTTAGAGAGTTAAAATAGACTGCCTTCAGTTTAGCCCCCCCCCCCCCCTTTTTTTTACCCCCATACCTTCATTTGAAACTCGCATGCAGTATCAACATTTGACGTCACAGGATCACGTGCTCATTCTGGATGAAGTGTTAAAAAAATTCCGATGCACACAAGCGAGTGAGTACACTCGAGCAGAACGTGTGGGATTTCGTTTTAAAGCAGCATTTAAATGAGAGATAATATATCATAGTGCATTTCTCATGATACTGGTAAAATCATATCGCTAAAAAAAAAATTATAATTCCATGGTTTCCTTAAGAACTGAGAACTATTTCTAGGAGCAGATAAAATTTACTTTTTACGTCTCTATTATTTCAAAACTTGTGTAACAGTTAAAGAGGAAGCGATGCGGAATCAGCAACTCGGATGGCATTCCGTGAGCTCGACCTAGCCTCGTGTGTTGTGTGTGTGTAGTGTTTCGTTTCTGCAGGAATGTTCCAGGGTCTTTTCAAAGGTTTTAACACGAAATGGGCTGTGTGAGTACAAAGCTGGTGCCAGAACTCCATCCGAATGCGCATTTGGTAGAGACGTTTTACTGTAACACAAGACAGGATGTAAAAATCTCTTCCTTTCGACCCGTGGCAGTTTTAAAGACACACGCTTTTCTTCAGTCGGTAGAAACTGCAACGCGACGAGAGAAATCAAATTCCGAGATCGCGCATGAGGGTCAGAATGTAGGTGGGAATACACATGGGAAAAAATACCGCGATAAATTTGACTCTCGAGTTACAACAAAGTATGATGTTAAAGCTTTGATTGGCAAAGGGAGTTTTAGCAGAGTCGTTCGAGTAGAACATCGTATAACAAAACAACCGTATGCTATTAAGATGATTGATAAAATTCAAGGAAAGGAGGTGTTTGAAGCCGAACTGAATGTCTTACGCAGGGTGAAACATGTTTATATAATTCAGCTACTGGAAGTATTTGAAGCTGTGGATAAAGTCTACATGGTAATGGAACTTGCCACCGGTGGTGAACTTTTTGACCGCATCATTGCTAAAGGTAGTTTCACCGAACGCGATGCTGTCAAAGTTCTTATAATGGTCTTAGACGGCGTCAAATATCTACACGGACTAGGAATTACACATCGAGACCTCAAACCTGAAAATCTACTTTA